TTTTTATATTTTTCCCAGTTTCAGTATTCATGTGATTCTTGATGAATACATATGTGATGAACTGGAAAGGGTTTAATTCAAACGATTGTATGCAACAGCTTATTAACAATGTGACATTTTAAAGTACGATCAATTACAAAAATGCTCTATTCTCTGATTTTATGAAAAAAAAAATTAACTTAGTATTTAATGGCATCACTATTTCCAATCAAGTTATGTCATCGAGCAAGTTTGTGTGTCCCATCTTGTATGAATGTTCAGTCCACAGATAGAAAAATCTTCTATATTTCTAATTTTGAAAACAATTAAACACAATAGGTTATTATCAAGTTGCTTAAAAGGTTCATTACAGAAAACTGCCAAACAAAAACATCTTGTTGATCAAGAGTTATTCGCTACCCTCCCAGGTTTTGTACACTACCTTTTGTTTTCATTAGCAATTGAGGTACCATGATGATAAAGATAATAACTTAAAGACCTGTATCTAATTTTATGTAATATATTTATTTTAGCCATATACATTTATACATATTTAAAGTTTTACCTCTTTTAATTTTACCTTTCTAAAAACTAACTGTTCATGATATAACCATGTGCCCACACATTAACATTTTGACAACATATAAGATGTTCAGCAATGAAATAATTTCAAAGACAGTTTTTATAATTTATAACTGCACACTCAATAAGATCACTAGTAATAATTTTTGCCAATGTATAGACTCAATCTGTAAAATATACAAGTGACAGCATCAAGCAACAGCATTATAAAAGTGTTACCTTTGTACACATGCAGGCACACTTATCATACCCTCAGAACTCAGACTCAATCACGATGATTCTTGCTGTCTTTCTTTCATCAGTAAATTCTCTTGTCTGATTTTTAGTGTTTGAGCTAAAGCTTTTTTGTGTTGTTTCCTTTCCTTATATTGACCACGCCCACGAATGAGATTCAGTTGTTTCTTAATGGCTTCAACGATGTTAATGTCATCTGGAATATGGACAAATCTTACTTGCTTCCCTTGAACAAAAAAACTTTCATATTTCTGCTGTTCATTATTTGGTGTTGTTAGAGTCACATCAGTCATTGTGAGGTTCATGTATCTAGATAAAAATTAAAGACACTAAGAGTTAATACAGTATTCATACATTTATATACAGATATTTCAAACAATCAAACATTGAGTGCATTTAAACTCCTAGTTAGTTACACTAACAATTACTTCAAAACAATAAAATAATCAACATATTTTGAGTTCTAGTACATCTTCACTTCTCAGCTGAGAATCTGTTAATAAAAACAAAAACTAAAGTCAAAGCAATTCAAACTTTAATAATATAATGGAGTGTTAAATAATGTGAAAACATCATCTTTTAAATAATATATTGTTAAGCATGTTATTGTGGAGAATAATAATAGAAAGTAAATGATTTCTCCATTCAAATGACATCAAAATCACAAGTTTTTTTCATAAATGAAGAAATTATTTCAATGAAAATTCAAAGATAAATCTAAATATACATATAATGGCTGGAGACGGCTTGAATGGGTAATGAA